AAAGAAAATCAACATTCCGAAGGCCGTATGGCTCCGACCAAGATTCGAAAAGAAAATTCAAGAAGGAAATTCAAAAAGAGACACCGAAATTCCCGTGCGATGTCTGCGCGCCCAAAAGTCTGACAAAACAAAATTAAAAGAAGGGAAACGAAAGAAAAGAAGCGACGTCAACATTTATTAATCGCGCACTCGGTGTGCACTCCGCATCCATCCGACCAAGTTTCACCCCCTTTTCCCTGTGCATTCCCGAATTGTCCCCAACTGTCATGAGGGGCTCGTGCGCAAACGAAGAAGCAACGAAGAAAGCAAGGACACACATGCAATTTTCCATCAACCCGTCCAATCGACATGGGACTCCGCTTAGCACTTCGCGCAAAAAGTCACGCATTACAGAAGCTAGTTCGTTACATATGTGACACCCAGGGGGTTCCAAAGATAAGCAAGCTCCTGCTTGCTAGCTGACGTGTCGATCATCTTCGATTGATTGGCCGTGGATGGCTGATCTTCTTTTTTGCCGCATACCGTGCGAACGAGTGTGGAAGTCATGTTGCGCGGCAGTCGTATCCTGGTTGTCGTCACTCGTGGGGAAGGGGAAAAGGAAGACGATAGGCAGGCGGAGGTGTTGATGGGGGATGAGTTGGGATAGGTGGGAAAAAATGTTCCAGCTCATCGTCAGTTTCCGGAACCGATGATGGACGATTCTATGGAAGCGAGGAAATCGGCCGCCAATAGTGGGGAGAGAAGGGAGGTAGTCGGGATAGAGAGTGGTGAAGGTTCTAAGAAGCGCCGCGCGAAAGCGATCGTGGTCGGCGCATGCGAGGATTAACCCCGTGATGAGGCAATAAACCTCTACGGCGTTGATACGACACCATCCTACGCTAAAAAGAAGTACATGGAGAGGGAACTTAGGGAAAGCACGCTGGGAGGATGAGTGGGGATGGACTGTGACAGAGAGACGGATGGAGAAGTAATGACGGAAAGTGTCGCGGGGGAAGGGATTGTGGGGGAAGACGGCGGAACGGGTGAGCTGGCGCAGGGTGAGGAAGTCATGGGGTCGGAGAGAGAGAGCCCGAGGACGAAGACCGGTCGGCCTCATCTCGACGTGCTCGAAGTGCGGGACGGGCCGCGAGGGAGAGGGAGGCGGAGGGGGAGCGGCTTCGTCGTCGGTGTCGCGGTGGGGAAGGAGGCCGGCGAACGGACGGCCCAGCCATCTGGGCCACATCGCCGTCGTCTGGCCGAGGTGGCTCCGGCTCGAGCGTTGGATCGTTGCTGATCGGAAGATCAGCAACCGCCGCAATTTCTAGCTGGGGATCCTCGTCGGCGTGCTCCTCGTCGTTGTTGTCACCGCTCCCTTGCTCGCTGTCTTCTTCTTCTGCTTCCTCTTCGGTCTCCGTTTGCAGGAGCTCGTCTTCTTCTCCTTCTTGCTGCTGTGCTGGCTCCCCTTCGTCGTCGTTCGGATTCTCCTCCTCTTCCTCCGAACTTTCTTCCGTGAGCTCCTCGCGGATTATCTCCTCCAATTCGTCCTCGTACGGCGGTCTGTAGAAAGCGGGATCCACGATGTCGCGCGGATCCAAATAATTCAACCGTAAAGGCGGAATTCTCGATGGGAAGCCCTCCACGCAAGCTGACCACTGAAGATACGGCGACAGCGTGCACGAGGTGACGTGGGGCACCAAGCACGGGTCGACCTGGGAGACAATGCTGACGTCAAGATCGTCGGCCAGCTGCGCAATCGGGACCGTAAGCTCCTTGGTGAGAAGCCTCCGACAGCCTGGACGCACTGACCCGAACAGAAAACCGAGAAGGTCCCCCTCTACTTCCATCCGCCACGCCTGAATCAAAAGGATCTCCAATCGCTCAGACCGCGGATAATTTCTCTCGTCCCTCGTCCACGCCACCCGTACTTCCACCAAACACAATGAGAGTTCGATGAAGTATTTGCGCCACGCGTCCCACTGAGAGGGATCGAGGAGGGGAACAACCAGAGGATTTATGTAGAAGGAGAGGCGGGGATGAAGATCAGATTGCCAAAAGGTGGGGAAGGAAGAAGGAAGCTCGAAAGTAGAGATCGGGAAGGAGCTCATCGGGGATGGAAGGGGATGAGAGGGGGTAGTTGCATCGGCGGGTCACGCCGATCCAGCCGAAGGCCATTGTATTCGATCGCCCGGATTGGTGTGATCACGTCCCCYTGGTGTGCCAGGAGCTGGGTCCACTCGTTCTAAAGATTGTGCACCCACAGAAGCAACGCCACCTTGATTCTCGTGTGTCGGCAGGGGGGGATCGCCGTGAGATCTCCACTGAAATTAACTACCACCGTTATCTGGCTGACGCCTGCAGATGCTCGCTCGCAACCCGACAGCTTCGGCCAATATGATCGCGTCAGCCCTCCCGTCGACGTGGATCTCTGCTGCCGCGTAGACTCCCTTCGAGCAGAAGAATTGCGCAAGCCGCTGAAGGTCCGGAATCAGACGAGGATGATGTACCTGCCGCAGTGTCAAATTCCCACGTACTACTAGCGCTTCTTCACTTAGAGCTCTCTCCTCCATAAAGCTCATGGCGACGGTGAGGTTGACGGCGTATCCGACAGAGATTGGGAAGGAGAAGGAGATGCAGAGGAGATAGAGTCATCGTCGGGAGAGGTTGATGGAGAAGGAGACGGAACAGAGGGAAGAAGACGGAGATAGGACACGTGGCGTGCGATCGGGCGAGCCGATCGACTGCCGGAAACCTCGGGAGCGAGGCGCACGGTGTCCATGCCGTTGGGTCCGAGTTCAATCACTCGATACTGTCCGAAGAATCGTGGCGCTAGTTTACCCTGGCGCGCACATTTCCTTACCTGCACGATGTCCCTTAACTTATACTGAATCCTGGGATGCGCATTCCTGTTCCGGGCCTCGTAACTCCGGACCTGTCGGCCATGGGCCGATTCGGTGGACCGTTGTCGCTTCCGGGCCAGTCTAGGTAGGGACCGCTCCATAAGTTCCAGGTGCCTTTTGGCTTTGTCCCGAGCGGTGGCCCTTGTCGAACGTCGGTTGAGTCCTGATTCGTCGGGGAGGCTCGGTATCGACACACACGCGACACTATTGGTCCGTAACTGGAAGGGGCTTAGGCCCGTCGATTCGTGGGGTGTTCCGCGATGGACCGCCAAGATGTGGTCGACAATATCAGGCCAGGGTCGGGGGTCACGTGCCGCAATATTCCGCCGCAAGGCCGTTTTTATCACCCTATTTGCGTTTTCCACTAATCCGTTAGACTAGGACATCTGCGGGGCCGTGTGCCGTATGGAGACGCCGTGTATGATCAGGTTCCTCTCGACTTTTCCTCTAAATTCGACCCCATTGTCGGTCAGGATCTCATCGGTGTCTTGGTGCATGCCTAGAAAACGGTTGACGTACCGCGCGATTTCCGCGGTGTGTCGTGTCTTGCAGGGGTAGGCCTCGATCCACTTAGAAAAGTGGTCGACGAAAACCAGCAGAATTGAAGAGCCGCAACTATTCGGTCCAGGGGGCACCACTATATCGGTAGTATCCATACTAACCCTCTGAAACGGCCGTTCAACCACCGTTGGGACTATCGACCTAGGCAGTTGGATTGGGGCCTTGTCAGCAGCGCAGACCTGGCAGTGTTGGACGATGAATTTAACGTCGTCCCGGATATTGGACCAGTACCATTGATTTCTGTCAATCGCAGCTTCGGTAATACGCACGGCAAAATGCACCGCCGTCTCCTCGTGGGCTGTCCATACCCAGTCGTACCGCATAAACGGGTGCGGAACTACTAACCATGCCCCATTGCCGTCTGTTTTACGCTTTTCTAACCGTCCGGCCACCCATCGGTAATCTCGTGCTCTTTCATTGGCTATCCTCCGATCCTCCTTGGAGAAGGTTTCGAGGGAGTTCCCTACCACAGTTGCTATCAAGGCGACATCTGTCCAAACTTCCGCTCTTCTAAATTTCTGAATTTTGTCGGGGCCTTCCGACGTGGCATCGAGGAATCGGGCTTCCGTCGGAATCTTGTCAGTGCGACATAAGGGATAGAACCAGAGTCTATCACTACTCCGATACTGTATGCACGCACCATGAGCACGTGCGACATATTTCCGACAGTCTACCCATTCAACATATCGCCTCCCTTTAGGACACATGTGGACGGAATAGACTCGAGAGATTGCCTCGCAGAAATAGCAAAATTTGTCAGGAAGGGAGGCGAAAGAAGAGGATGGGGAAGAAAGAGAGGGAATTTGGACATTACCTCCGTCACCCATTGCCCTTCACCGGCTTCTTGCCACGTGGAATAACCACAACTTCTCCGTACTTTGGACCGTTATTGATGTCCGGGTCCTTCCACGGTGTGATTTCTTCCGCCTTTGGTACTTTATCGGGTCGGTGCAAACGTGTCAGTCCGTCTGCGTTGCCGTGTCTCTCCGTTTTTCGATGGGCAATGTCAAATTCATACTCTTGCAACCGCACTGCCCATCGTCCGATCATGCCCGTGTAGTTGGTTAGCTTTTTCAGAGCCAACAAAGGTTCATGGTCGGTGATGAGCAGAAACTTTTGACCGTACAAATACAGATGGAAGTGCTGGATACCCCACACTACCGCATAGCATTCTCCTTGTGGCGCGGAATCGTTTCGTCGCTCGTCTGACACCGTCCGGGAAGCGTACTCGATGACATGCTCCTTCCCATCGTTTCCCTTCTGTGCCAGAATGGCCGAGATAGCCTCCGGCTGCCAGTCGGTGATGAGAATAAACTGTCGAGAGGGGTCCGGTCGAATCAGAATCGGGGCCGTGACGAGAGCATCCTTCAGGGCCCCGAAGGCCTGGTCGCACTCGTCATCCCAATGAAGGGGCTGTTCTTTTCGCAGCAGGTTTGTCAGAGGCCTTGCTATAGCCGCGAACCTCTTGATGAACCGCCGGTAATACGAGGCCAGACCCAAGAAGGCTCGAATCTGCGTCAGTGAGGTCGGAACCGGGGCCTCTTTGACCGCCGCGACTTTTTGTGAGTCCGGCCACAGGCCTCCTCGTGTCACCACATACCCCAAGAATGAGATTTCCGGGAGGAAAAAATCACTTTTTTCCAGCGCAATCTTGAAACCTGCGTCTCTCAACGCACCCAACGTCCATTCGATGTGCTGCGCATGTCCGTGAAACGTGTCCGAGTACACCACAATGTCGTCCATGTACACAATGACGCAGAAGTTAATCATCCCTTGAGTCAGCCGTGTCTTATTGATGAAATTCTGAAAAGTCACGTTCATCGCCCTCTGAAACGTGGCAGGCGCATTGCAGATTCCCATCGGGCACCGAACCCACTGCCACGTGCCTTCAAACAAAACGAAGGCGGTCTTGGGCCGATCTTCTTCCTTCACCAAGGTATGATGAAACCCATACCGAATGTCGAACTTGGTGAAGTAGTTAGCACACCCGATCGCATCAAGCAGATCATCAATCCGGGGAAGGGGATACACATCTTTAATCGTGATATCATTTAGCTTTCGATAATCGATGCATATGCGGACTGACCCGTTCTTTTTAGGAACCAATACAACTGGGAAYGACCAGGGACCGGTGGCARGCTCRATCCATCYGTTTGCCTCAAATTCCCTGATTCGCTGCAAKGCCGTCTTGCGCTCTGTCAACGAGTATCGGTACGGCTTGCAGTGGATCGGGGAATGATTCCCGGTCTGAATCTCATGCTGAACGACCACAGATAACCCAATATCGACATCGAACACGCTAATCGCCCCTTGATACTCTATTAAAATATCAGCGATCAACCGATGGATCTCATCAGGTACATACTGGGGCAAATGCAATTCATACATTTGATCCAAAATCCGAACGTTAACCTGCTTCGTGTGTACACACCGAGTAGTGTCAGGCGGTGCAGATATAAAAGAGTGATCCGATCTCCAAGAAAACACAGTGGCCACCATCTGTGATTCCTCCTCCCTGATCGTTGTATGACCTTCGAGGGTTATCCCGTCACAGATGTCTCGCCAGGGCACGCTTTTGGACGAGATTTTGATCCCGAGTTCATCGGATCTTGCCTCGATGCGCTGAGGGGGTTCCAAAGAACCTGCTTCGGCTCCCAAATGCAACAACTGAACCTCTTTTGCGGGCTGAAGCAGGGATCGAGGTAAGCTAGTGAGATCCCAAAAGGAACGTTTGTCACTATACCGAAGGAGAAGGGGAGATACGCCTTCGTACAGGGTCCGAGGGGGTTCCAAGGAATCAACCAGCCTCAAAATCTGTACGAGGGGTTCTCCCATGATCATCATATGAGCATTCCATGCGATTAGATGCATGGTACGTGCAATAGTGCGAGGCGGCGGGTAGTGAATCCGCTGCCGTACTAATCGTGTAATGACTTGATCGTCATCGTCGTCGCTCCCCGCGTCGTTCGATGATTGACCTCCGTCCACAGGTGCACTCCAGGAGACCATGCGGAGCGCCCCCATTGTTTCCGGAGAAATTCGGGGTACTACCTTAACCGACGTTCGAAGAGTTAGTCTCATGGGTATTACATATGGCTTTCCCCCGGTATTCCGGAGAATGACGGATCGGCGTTCAAAGTCTACATTAGCACCCAGCGCCACCGATGTCGGAAGCCCGAAAAGAACGTCATACATATTCACATCCAGCACGACAACATCTCCTAAAGCATGCACTTTTCCCAATCGGAACGCGACATTCGTCATTCGTCCTATTGTCTTGATCTTCTCCTCGTCAGCCGATACGAGCTGGTCCTTCTCGGTTAGCATAATCAAATCATTCTTCCTACCCGCTCTCTCGACTACTCGGAGTGATATCGCTAGGACAGCCGCTCCCGAATCTATGATCGCACTATACGGCACTCCCCAAACTTCAATATCACATTCGGTTGACTTCCACAGAATCGGCTTGATTCGAAGAAAGTGGTCATCTTTCTCTATCAATCCGACTCGGATGGGGTCAGGGGCGACGACCGCCTTTTCCTCCGAAGTCGGCGCCTTCGCCTTCTGATCTTTTGCGTGTGCAAGGGCAAATCGCTTCCGGTTCGCTTTGCAATGCTGCATCATACGTTCGTTCGCCTATTCCGAAATGGAGAGTAGGTGGCCGATTGGGAGAGGGATTCGATGATCCAGTGCTCGGGTAACGTCGAGGACATCGATTTCCCCTGTAACAAAGGTAGGGCCTCCTGTCTCTATTTCGCTCGACAAAGGCCGCCATTCGACGGCATCTCTGGACTCGAGTTCCGGTCGAATCGTCCCAATCATTCCCAGCCCCGGGTATCCTAGTGATACATACTGCTCCAGCGGGATAAGCTCGGCTGCTTCCTCACTGGAAATCATCATTCCATTACTTCCCCCCTAATCATCCATCACGGCTCCTACACGTCCTGGACCGTTAGCTATGGGAGCTGCAGCTGCAGGCGCGACCCCGGCTCGAGGCTGCATGGCCCGATGGGAGAAATCTCGGGCCAAGTGTCCCGGTTGATGACATGTATAACAGGCATTTGCCGCTGTCCCCGCTGGCCCCGCTGCAACTTGTGCAGCAGCCATGCCTCCCTGCATTGGTGCTCGCACCGCAATGGGTCGCATATTCCGCATCCTAGCTTCTAATCGGGCGTTGTGCTCTCGTTGTTCCTTCTTGCTTTCTTGGATTAGACTAACCAATGTTTTAGTTAGCTCCAAGATAGCAGTAGACTCATTCACTCTTGCGGGTGACTCGATGGTGGGTGGCGGTGGAGGTGGTTGAGTTACGGTTGGGGACGCCATTACCGGGATCTGCTTGTTTACAGTCGCTCCACATGGTGCGGTCCTCGATGTCACGTGTTCTACATACGTAACGGGTCCGACTACGAATCCCATGTTTTCGAATTTGTTTTGCAGTGCGGCCAGTTCCGCCCTTGCTTTCACAAGTTCAGACGAGTCTCCTTCTCTACCATAATCCTCATTTTCTAAGAAGCTAGCTGCAAACTTCCGCTCCATTTTTTCGGCAGTGTCCATAATTTTTTGCAACGTATGGTTAATGGGAGATAAGTTTTTATGTAGCTTCCCCCGAATCGTTCTGTTACGTAGTCCATCAATGAACAGGTCCCGGCCTACCTGCTCGCCTCGCTCAGTCTTTACAAACATTCGATGAAATCTGTTCCGATACTCGGTGATGGATTCGAGTGGTTTCTGGACTCAATCCTTGATCATATAAAGTGCTTGTTCGGGGTGAACATAATCGAAGTGGTTCATGAAATCTCGCTCGAATGTGGGAAGATCCACCCATACATAAGTGCTATACCAATGATGGGTGTCCCCCGCATCCGCGCGGGGATGTTGATATGAGCTTCATCGTTCGTATACCGCTGAGCTCGGAGCGTGGCTAACCATGCTCCAGCGAGATGGTGGGCTGGATCAAATAAATAAAGATCTGGTGGAGCCGCAGGGGCTCGTGCAGGCGGCGCAGGCGGGTTAGGCTGTTGGTTGGGGTTGACCACCGCAGCGGCTGCTGCAGCAGCAGCCGCAGGCATGGCGCCTGCTCGCCTTGTGGCGGACGTTCGGCTTCGTGTAGCTACAGGACTACGTCGGCGTGTATCCCCAGCTGAAGGGCGCCTACGTGGAGCCAGATCGCCTCGCCTTAGCCAATATTGAGTCTACAAACCCTATCGCTTAGCCAATTGTCGGGCTCCAATACCAACCTCACGCCCGACGCGACTTCCTGATCGGAGTGGGATGGGGGCCTGGAAGTGCGAAGAGGGGTGTGCCAAGGATTTTTGGGAAAGTGGGGGTTGAAGTCCCAGGTCG